AGCTCTCATGTGACATCAGCTTTTCTCTCAGAGGGAGGAACTGCATGAAAGAACAGAATCCATGTCACCGAGTGTGTGCATGTGTGATATGACATCACTCGTCTCACTCCTGTCTTAGTCTTGTCAGTGTGATGAAGCAATGCATGCACACACAAGAGCACACACATAGACGGACCACAGTGGCGGCGCCAGTTGTGGTGGATCATTTTCATGTCAAGTTTGGATAAATCAGTGGTAATGTGGGCTGACTCTGCTGTATACTGCTGCCTGTAGGCAGTCATGCAGTGATTTGCTTACAGTCCACACCCTCAGCCAACCCTTGGAATTTCCCTGCAGATCTCACTTTACTTGAATACCCAAGTGTATTTCAACCGGTAGTCCACTTACTGCACTGTTTGTGAGGACTTAGCTGTGTTAGCTGAGCACTATTTGTGGATATATGACAAGTACAGTACAACTTTGTGGAAATCCACAAAGAATAGACCAATAAATCAAGCTTTTATTAAAATGAAGTCCCCTTATCAGAGACTGTAATGTCCACTTATCCACTTAAGCGTCAAAGTAATATTTCAACATTTGGGAAATACGCTTGAAATAAGCCGATACTCACCAAAATTGAGCACTTATGATTTTAATCCACATGACTTTTTATTTGACTTTATTTATTTTGCCACCTCCTGGTGAGACACTGCTTGATTTTTTTTTATGTTCCGCAAAGACCCGCTCTACTCTACCTCTGATTGGCAAGTGTTTGTTTCCCTCATTGGTTTGGTTGGTTAAGATTAGGCATGAGGAGTTAAAATGTCTTCTTAAAATTGATTTTGAAAAACAACAAAAGTATTAGGGTTAGGGTTCAATTCAATTTTCAATTACATTTTATTTGTATAGCACCAATTCATAACAGAAGTTATCTCAAGACACTTTTCAAATAGCGAGCAGCGACAACAGTAACAACACACCAACCAGTAACTGTGAGCAATACGATGAATCCTTATAATAACTAACAATAATAAACTAGATTTAGAATCAGGTAGTCTAGCAGGACCATGGCAGGAGGCTCCACCAGGATCCATGAGAACCTGCGAGACGAGAAAGCACAAGAACTCCGGGGAAGAAGTGAAGTTAGTAACATGCATTAATGGGACATGAATGTGTGCAGAAAGAGAGGGAGAGGAAGAGAGAAGCTCAGTGCATCATGGGAAATCCCCCGGTAGTCTAGGCCTATAGCAGCATAACTAAGGGATGGTTCAGGACTCACCTGAGGCAATCCTAACTATAAGCCAATCAAAGAGGAACGTCTTTCATCCCTGCCGCTGTCAGACTCTACAACACCTGATCAATGTTGTAGTTTCTGTTTTTTCAAATTACCACCATACCATAGTTTAGTTTTTATCATAGTTTTTTATATCTGTATTTATTTATTTCAAGTTATTGCTGCTGTGGGATTAATAAAGTAATACAATACAATACAATACAATACAATATAAACAAATATTAAGGCTAGGATAACTAGGGGAAGGTCAAGGAAACGAACTAAACTAACGAAACTATGGAAACTAGTGTTTCTAGTGAAAAATAAAGAAATAAAAACAAACTTATGACTAATTGTTTTTACTGAGAGGTAGGCAGACACATGTATATTGACATCCAAATAAATCATAGTTAGGTAACATTTGATTCATAAAAATAATAATCATAATAATCATTAAGCTCCACAGCAAGTAAATCTACTGAGCCCTCTGACAGGGGACACTTCCATACCTTAACGTTGTCTTTGAGTCCTAACCTTGTCCAGGAGAAGGGCTGATGCTCAGCTGCTTACCTAGGCTTTATAGAAAATACACTGGCTTAGGCTAAAATATATTGGCTTGCCCCACTGGTTTGATAGTTAGTTTCATCAGAAACATCAGCCCGCTCAGTAGTCCAGCCACCATCCCTGTTTATCTAGTTCCACTAGTCTTGCAAAAAAGCTAATCAGTAATACTAATTAGTCCCCCTAGTCTCACACGAATGCCCCTTGACTTGTCTTACAAAATAAGTTTTAAAAATTGTTTTAATATAAAGTTGTGTGTGAGTGTAAGAGTGCAGTCAGGAGGGCAAATAGACAAACAATATTTCTTCACAGGATGTGAATCATGTGTGGAAAAGTTGAAAAGTTTGCTAATTAGTGGCAATTAGGACTACAGGAAGTAGATAAACAGTGACTCATTACATCTCATTATAGTGACTAAATACAATAAAAAAAAACGTATTACAACCTACAGCTGAGGTAGATGCAACATATACGTAAATAAAAGTGATGCTCCCCTAAATGTTCTCCCAATGACATGAAATAATAATAAAATAGGCCCTGCAGGCTCTACCTAGTGCCTACTTCAGACATCACTAGAAGAAGAATGATTCCAGCACTGACATGCTGGGGGGAGAATTACTCAATAATCAGGTTTTCAACAGGGCGTGCCTCAGCCCATTAACATTTGGGTGGGGTTTTTGAGTTATTCTGAAGCTGGCCAGTAGATTGACAAGTTGGTTTTGGGCCCAGACATAAATTGATATATAATATAGCAGTACTGTTGCCATGGAGGCCACTGACCAGAGTTGTTAGTTGTTAATTGAATTTTCCAGAAAAGAAACATGCACATAAACAATTTGGTCTGAATTAACCATAGATGTTTGAAGACTAATATAACCAGTGTTTCTGATTTGCAAATGTTTTCATCTCTTCAAACTGACATATGCGCCTGGAAATAGATGATCTAATAGCCGGTGGGAATCTAATTAATTCCTTCAACTTATCAAGGCAACTAATTCATTTTGTTCAAGTGTTGCCCTTTTCCCGTCAGTCCTGTGTTTCAATCCAAACAGACAGGACATTACACACAAAGGAGATCTAGCAGATGTGTGTGTGTGTGTGTGTGTGTTTGCATGAATTAACTCGTGTTGTGTTTTCTTCATTCACAAGTTTACAGATGGGAAGGAAGGAGGTGGACTATGTGTGAGGAGACGGAAGAACAATGTGGGCCATGACTCATTTAGTGGAGCTGCTCAAACCATTGAAGAAACAGGCAGCATGGCACTGGCTTTTTTGCCTTCGTTTTCCCCCTGAATATTCCAAATAAACGGGGGGAAAAGAGATGTTTCAGTTATGACAAAAAATCATTTTATGACCTTTAGAGACTAAAGTGAATACAAGGCAAGGCTTGTAACACCAGTAAATGTGATGCTGTGGTTATTTCATGTCTGTATGGCAACACAACACATCTTTTCAGTCTGAGCTGAACTGATGCATGTTATGGCTGGAGACAAGGGGCCGCAGGAAATGTGATGAAAAAAAGTCAAAGATTCATTTCAGCTGGTCAAGTGACTAATGGATTTATCGTTTTTTGTTAATTAGACTCAGACAGGGCTGCAGTTTTAGTCATTTCCTGTAGTCAGCAGTTTGGCTGATACAAGGCCTTTTATGACAGTTGGTATCAGGTTCTGCATCGCACCAATGATATATCTGTTTCATTACAATTTGAATATCCGTTTCAGATTTGGCACTGATATTCCTGTCCTATTTCCTCATCCTTTTTCCTTTCAATTTATTACAGGTGTGTATGAATAAATATGCAAACACACCTTGAAATAGATATCTTCAAGATGTTTTGATTTTGTTTTTATATTTCAAGTATAAGATTTTTTTATTGAAGAGTTTAAAAAAAAAAAGGTATTCATTTTCCTGTTCAGAACTGTTAACTATCCTAATATTTACTGAGTTTTGCAATTTCCCCCAAGAGAAAGAACAAGCACTCCCTATGTAAAATTGCTGCTAGTGTATAATGCATCATTT